CAGGTTCCGTGGGCTGTAGTCCACGAAAGCTTATGCTCTAATAAATTTGTTAGTCTCTAAGGTGCCACAAGTACTCCTGTTCTTCTTTTTATGATTCTACAGGGGGCAGGGGATGGAGGGTCATGGTGGGGGTGGGTTCCATGAGGGACAGAGGATTGGGGTTACAGGGGCCAGGGGCTGGGGTCCATGGGGGGGCAGGAGCTGGGGAATGGAATGCCACGGGGGACAGGGGAAGGGGGCTCCGGGGGGCAGGGTCTAGGGAATGGGGTCCATGGGGGGGCAGGGGCTGGGAGATGGGCGACCATGGGGGCCGGGGCTGGGGTCCATGGGGGGACTGGAGTACATGGGGGGCAGGGGCTGGGGGATGGGCACCAGGGGCGCAGGGGCTGGCAGCCCTCCAAGGGGACCCCAGCCCCACCCCCTGAACCCCGCGGCCCCTGCCCCTGCCCCGGCAGGTCTTTGTGGAGCTGAACGAGCTGGTGGTGGACAAGAACCAGGAGCTGCAGTGGAAGGAGACGGCGCGCTGGATCAAGTTTGAGGAGGACGTGGAGGAGGAGACCGATCGCTGGGGGAAGCCCCATGTGGCCTCCCTGAGCTTCCGCAGCCTGCTGGAGCTGCGCAAGACCCTCTCCCATGGTAGGTGGGCGGGAGCAGCCCCATGGGGCAGGAGGCTGCAGCGGGGCGCAGCCCGGGGTGGGAGGTCCTGGCCAGACCCAGCTGTGGCTCGGGGGGATGGCTGGAGCGGGGCAGCCCTTCGGCCTCTCTGCTCAGCCCTTGGCTCTGCCCCCAGGGGCCGTGCTGCTGGACCTGGACCAGAAGACGCTGCCGGGGGTGGCGCACCAGGTGGTGGAGCAGATGATCATCTCGGACCAGATCCGGGCCGAGGACCGTGCCAACGTGCTGCGGGCACTGCTGCTAAAGCACAGGTGAGCTGCCCGCGCGCCCTGGGGCCTGGAGAGGGAACTGCCCAGGCTGGCTCTGCGGCTGCTTGCTCCCTGCTGGGGCCTGGCGTGGTCTCTAGGGGAGGGAGCCGTGTGCACACACCCAACCCCCTGGGGCCTCGAGCCAGGTGCCAGGGTGGCCCGGCTGTCGCGCTGGCGAGTGCCCGTTACCCTCCCAGGCATCACTTGGGCAAAGCCCCAGGCTGTGCGTGGGTGGTGGGCGCAGGCCCTTTGATAGCCGCGGCCTCCCTGAGCACCCCCCACCCACATCCGGTCTGAGAGCAGGCTGCAGACACCTGGAGCCCGGCAGGGCCCTGCCCCAGCGACTTGGCCGGTTCGAGGGGGGCTCAGGGAGAAGGGGGGGGTGGGGGAGAGTGGGAGACCCCGAGTCCCAGCGTGCAGCACGCTGGCCGGCCGGAGAACGGCTTGCCGGGGCCCAGACTCCCTGGTGCGTGCAGGCGGCAGACCCTTCCCCTCGCTTCGTCCTGCAGCCACCCGAGCGACGAGAAGGATTTCTTCCCCCGCAACATCTCAGCCGGCAGCCTGGGCTCCCTGCTGGTGCATCACCACAGCGCCAACCATGTGGGCGAGGGTGGCGAGCCCACCGTCACCGAGCCCCTCATCGGCACCCACACTGCCGAACATGAGGCCAGGGTCGAGGTGGAGCGGGAGGTGAGTGTGGGCCTAGGTGCTGCGTGCCCGTGTGCCCCCTTCCTGCCCCCACAGGGCCCCTTATCCCCCTTCCTGAGCCTCTTGTGCCCCCTTGTTGAGCGCCACCGAGACCCCTTGTCCCCCTTCCTGATCCACCCAACCACTCCCCCAGGGCCCCTTGTCTCCTTTCCTGATCAGTTTGTACAGCAGAGAGAGGTATATAGTGGAGTCCCCAGGGACCTGTCCTGGGAGCAGGGCTGGTCAGCATCCTAAATGTGCAGATAATACAAACTCAAAACTACTCAAGCTAGTTAAGTCCCAGGCTGACTGCGAAGATCTACAAAAGGATCTCACAAAACTGGGCGACTGGGCAACAAAATGGCAGATGAAATTCAGTGTTGATAAGTGCAAAGTAATGCACATTGGAAAACATAATCCCAACTATGCATATAAAATGATGGGGTCTGAATTAGCTGTTACCACTCAAGAAAGAGATCTTGGAGTCATTGTGGATAGTTCTCTGAAAACATCCACTCCATGTGCAGCGGCGTCAAAAAAGCGAACAGAATGTTGGGAATCATTAGGAAAGGGATAGATAAAAAGTTAGTAAATATCATATTGCCTCTATATAAATCCATGATACACCCACATCTTGAATACTGTGCGCAGATGTGGTCGCCCCATCTCAAAAAAGATATATTGGAATTGTAAAAGGTTCAGAAAAGGGCAGCAAAAATGATTAGGGGTGTGGAACGGCTTCCGTATGAGGAGTGATTAATCAGACTGGGACTTTTCAGCTTGGAACAGAGACGACTAAGGCGGGATATGACAGAGGTCTGTACAATCATGGCTGGTGTGGAGAAAGTGAATAAGGAAGTGTTATTTATCCTGTCACATAACAAGAACTAGGGGTCATCCAATGAAATTAATAGGCAGCAGGTTTAACACAAACAAAAGGAAGTATTTTTTTCACACAACCAGAGTCAACCTGTAGTTCAAGAAAGAACTAGATAAGTTCATGGAGGATAGGTCCATCAATGGCTGTTAGCCAGGATGGGCAGGGATGGTGTCCCTAGCCCCTGTTTGCCAGAAGCTGGGAATGGGTGACAGGAGAGAGATCACTGGATGATTCCCTGTTCTGTTCCTTCCCTCTGGGGCGCCTGGCATTGGCCACTGTCGGCAGACAGGATACTGGGCTAGATGGACCTTTGGTCTGACCCAGCCTGGCCGCTCTTATGTTCTTAACCACCCAACCCACCCCCGGGCCCTTTGTCCCCCTTCCTGAGTACCCCTCTCCCGGGAGGTCTTGCCCCTGTTTACCTTACCTCTGACACCCCATCCTCACTCTGGGCTCTGCCCAGGACCCCTGGCCCTTGGCTCGGTGGCTTGGCTCCCGCCCCACGGCGGGGTGTTCACCTGTGTGCCCTGTCCCTGCCCCACAGCGAGAGAGCCTGAGCTCGGCACCCCCAGCTGGCATCACGAGGTCGAAGTCGAAGCACGAGCTGAAGCTGCTGGAGAAGATCCCGGACAACGCGGAGGCCACGGTGGTGCTTGTGGGTAAGGACGGGGGGAGGGGGGAGATGGCTGGGCAGAGGGGCCCAGGGCCGGGGCTGTGCCGAGCCCGCCGGCTGATGAGGGCAGAGGCTGGACGTGGCAGCCAGGCCCTTCTGCAGGCGGGTGTCGGCTGACGGGCCTGTGCCCCGCAGGCTGCGTGGAGTTCCTGGACCAGCCCACCATGGCCTTCGTGCGGCTGCAGGCGGCCGTGGAGCTGGACTCGGTGCTGGAGGTGCCCATCCCCGTCCGCTTCCTCTTCGTGCTGCTGGGGCCCAGCAGTGCCAACATGGACTACCACGAGATCGGGCGCTCCATCTCCACCCTCATGTCTGACAAGGTAACCCCCCCCGCGGCTCCACCTCCACCCTGGCTCGATCTCCACCCTTGTGGCTAACAAGATCAGTGCACCCCCCCCCAGCCTGCTGCGGGGCCCCAGCACCCCCACCCCACTGCCATCAGGCCCTGCCCATAGCCCCTCTGCCCCCTGCCATGGGGCCCCATCGCCCAGTCCCTCTCCTCACCCTCTGACTACCCCCAGCCTGCTGCAGGCTCTGCCCCGTCCCCTGGACTTGGCCTGCACCCCGATTGCAGGGTGGGGCTCTGGGTCCCAAGGCTCTGTGCCCGCCCCTTGCGGGTTCTTCTGGGCCGAGCCATCTTCCATTTTCCTTCCTTGTGGGCTGGACATGTGGGTGTCCTGCCCCGGGTCCCAGCGCCCCGAGGATCCGTGTTCTCCTGGCCTGCATCCGGCGCACGGCGCCTCTGACCCGACAGGTTCCCCCCGCAGCAATTCCACGAGGCAGCATATCTGGCTGACGACCGGCACGACCTGCTCGGCGCCATCAATGAGTTCCTGGACTGCAGCGTGGTGCTGCCCCCCTCCGAGGTGCAGGGCGAGGAGCTGCTGCGCACCGTGGCCCACTTCCAGCGCCAGATGCTCCAGAAACGCGAGGAGCAGGAGCGCCGGCTGCTGCTGGGCTCCGCGCTGGAGCCCAAGTCATCCGCTGAGAAAGGTAACGGGTCCAGGGCGGGGCCGGCAGCACCCCTGCCCTGCCCTGCTGGGCCCTGGAGCGGGGCTGGGGCTGGGACCGGGCCGGCAGCACCCCCTGCCTTGCCCTGCTGGGCCCTGGCACGGGGCAGGGCTGGGGGTGGGGCCGGGTGGCCAATGCTCCCCCTGCCGGGCCCCATGGCGTGGAGCGTGGAGCGGGGTGGGGCTGGGGGTGGGGCTGGTACTGGGCCGGCAGCACCCCCCTACCTTGCCCTGCTGGGCCTTGGCGTGGGGCAGGGCTGGGGGTGGGACCGGGCCGGCAGCACCCCCTACCTTGCCCTGCTGGGCCCTGGCATGGGGCAGGGCTGGGGGTGGGGCCGGGTGGCCAATCGCTCCCCCTGCCGGGCCCCATGGCGTGGAGCTTGGAGCGGGG